AGAGCTTGGGTCAGTGATAAAACAGATGGGGAAACAAAGCGACACGCTAGGGAAAGTTGGAAAACCAGCCGACAACCAGAGTGGGTGCGGGACAACCGGAGCCAGGAATTACTGGAGACATAGACACATGGAGGGATGCTCTGTACCAGATTTATTTCTGATCTAAAATCCCTTTTTTTATCTCAACTTCTAGAAAAAGGGGGAGGAGAGGAAATACAGAGACAAAAGCATAAAAAGATATTAGCACATAAGAACAGAGGGAAACAGTGTTTGGGCTTGATGTTTTAAATATACTTTATTTCATTTCACAGTGTCAAGTTTGTGTTTGTCCCCTGCCAACGTAGAGCGACATAACCACAAACCTGCCCCCAAAACGTTATCGGCTCTGGCGTAAGGCAGAACGCGCTTGTGGACATGTACACGGACAAAGTAGCTGGGGTGGTTCACAGCAAAAGGCACGATAAGCGTAACAGAGTTTGCGACAGTGTCCTCCCCGCTGCTCGGATCTCCGGTAACAGGGGCACAGGCGACGAGTGCGCGCAGTAGTAACAGCGGGCACGAGCCCGGGTGCCGTGCACGGGTCACTTCGGTTCAGCCTCACACAACCCACTGGGGCAGGCAACGTGACGGTCGTCTGTACTTTGTAATTAAGGGGTCAGAGACTGGGGACTAGACCGGGTCCCCTCCGCTAGCGGGCGGCAGGAGGGGGACTTGAACCCCAGTGGCCTGACACCGGGATCCACGCTTTCACTCCACCCCAAATCGCCTTCACAAACAAGGAACAGTAAGAGGTAAAAGGAATTCCACAGAGCCCTGTTCCCGCCCCCGGGACGACAGAAAGCCACGATTTCAAGAGACACACGGGCGGTGTGACCATCAGTGCGGCCAGTGGTGTGAGCGGAGCGCCTACGTCGTCGGGCTCACCTAAATCCGAGCACTGCGTTTACTCGTCCTGGGGTCGGGTGAGCCGCCTCCTCGAAAGCAGCAGCCCACGGCGGAGCGCGTCGGGGGCGGCTCTCGTCCGCATGGGTCCCTTGGGCGTCGTGCCGGACCTGGAGGCGGGGGTACGGCAGGGGTGACACGTCCAGTGTGTGGGTAGAACCGGTGCCTCCTTCGTTCCCCACCCGGGCTCTTAGCAAGCTTCCTTGGCGCCCCCAGCGGACAGCTCGAGAGAGAACCGCGCCGGCTCAGCCCCTGGAAGGTCGGGCTTCAGCTACCGCCATTCAGAATAAAATCAAACCAGCCAAAGCCAACACCCTCCCCTCCCCGCCCCCCAAGTGCTTCACTGACGGACTTACTCCCGTGTCCCCCTCGCGGCCGCTACACCGTGACTCCAGATTCTCCTTTAGGTATGGTGCTCTTCGATGATGCTCTTAACTCGAACGTGCTCTTCCTTCTCAACTAGGTTTTCTTCATCTCTGTTTCCATTATACAGACAAGAAATGACCTCCCAGAGTGGTCCCCGGGCTGTCCCATTCTGGCCAGTGACAAACCGTGGGACGGGGTGTTGATGAGAAGAGCAAATCTCCTCTGCCACCTTTCCAGAGACCTTCCACAAGATGGGGCACGAGAGAGAAAAGACGGAAGGCACTCATGGACAAGCGAAAACTGGTGAGGTGTCCAGAAATCACTCAGAAAGTGACCTGGGACCCAAGCAGACAGTAACTCAAGTACGCAAGGGCAGGACGCTGAACGACTGTGAACACATTCGGTAATAAAGACTGCTAACAATCGTGTGTTTGAATTCCAGAATGCATCAGACAATAACAATTACTTATTCACACATCGTAGACAGGAAGTAGAGCTGAAATGATTTAGGAAGAATTAGGATAATCTCTCACATTTATACTCAACTTTATATAAAAATGCATTTTTACAACTATTATCTCCTTTGACTCTCACCAACCTCTGTTGAGGTAAATAAGTGGTCTCCTTATTTTATTGATAAAGAAGGGCTCAAACAGGGAAGGTAGTGTGCTTAAGGTTATATATACGTGTAGTGATACAGCACAGACCATTTGATAGTTTGCGGTTTCCCACAGTAAGTGACCTTCAGAGGGATCATTTCAAGTATGACTGTAGTCTGTGCCACTATAAGGAAAGGCCTTTGAATCTGCCATTCCACATCACCCTTTGCCAACGTGGGGACTCTGTGCTACCAACATAAGGGACAGACACCCCCTCAGCCCTCAAGCCCACCATGGAGTCAGTTTGGAGACCATGACATTTTCTCATGAAAGATGGAGAATCTTTCCTTTTGTAATTCTGTGTTGTTTTAGATTTTAAACAAAACACCTTTATTTTATTTTTTTAAAGATTTATTTATCTTGAGAGAGTGGGAATAAGAGAGAGAGAGAGAGCACATGAAAGGGGGGAGGGTAGAGGGAGAAGCAGACTCCCCGCTGAGCAGGGAGCCCGACGCGGGACTCGATCCCGGGACTCCGGGATCATGACCTGAGCCGAAGGCCATCGCTTAACTGACCGAGCCACCCAGGCGCCCTAAACAAAACATCTTTAAGTGACTACAGTTATAGTTATGACCATCTACTTTTAAAGGCACTGAGGTAGTAGGAAATACTGCATTACATCTTTGTTAAGCAGAAAAGAACGGGTATTAGTGTGACTTTGGTACTGTATTCAAACTCGCTGAGTCTCCATTTCCTCCTCTGTAAAACCAGGAGCAAGAGAAGTTGAAGAACAAGATTTACTCAGCACCTGCCACACCCCATGTGCTACATCCAGTGCTTTGATAACTTACTGAGTCACCAACAACCCTTTGAGGTAAATACAGCTATCATCTGTAACGTACAGGTGAGAACATTCAAACAGAAACATCAAGTAGAAACAGAAACGTTAAGGAACTTGTCCAAGGCGGAATCCCAAGTGGTAGCGTCAGGACTCACTACCTGGTGGTCGGTCCGCAGCTGTTAGTCTCCAGGCCGAGCGACACTGTGGCCCCGGGGTCCACGTGTGAGGAGATGGGACAACACGCCGAGGAGGTTAGCACACTGCCTGGCACACAGTAAGCACCCAACCAACCTTAGCAAGTATCAGAACAAAACAAAATCATAAAATAATGTATCCTGCAGCTATTATTTGGCAATAAAACATACATATATATAAAACATACATACCCATTATCACAAATATGTGAAATAACTATCACCCAATAGATATTTTATCACCATGTATCCCCAAGTAAATTTTGAGATTTATATTTTCCTTTTTTTTTTTTGCTGGATTAATGAAGCACCAATAAACTCAAGATAAATCAGAATTTATTCTGAACATACCATAAGGAGACAAGACAAATATTCTTTCCTCCTGAACACACAGAGAACATCAGTGGCATCTTTTTTTTTTTAAGGTGCAACGATTTATAAAAATAAAGATAAAATTAGCAGAATAGGTCTTTCTTACATATTCACATATAAAATCATGAACTACTAATAATTTGGATGGAATAACTGACCATCAATAAACATTTACTGAGAGTTTGTTCAACAGATCATATTTTTTTTAACACAGAAGTAACTGAGCTTTCTATTTGGAGAGCCTTTCTGAAAAATAACTCCCCCCCCACCCCCCGCTGGGGGTAAGGTATTTATCTGATCTCATGCATGACTACACTGAGAATAACTCCCCAGTTGGTAAAAGTAACAGATTTACTTTCTTGTCCACAAACTGGAGAAGGGGTCAAATGAAATCTTGGGGATAATGCTGAGTCATAACTACTCTAAACTGAAATAAGTCAGTAATTGTATATCTAGTACTTCAAAATATCTGAGTGAACTTTTAAATTCAATTACATGGATATTTTACCCATATAATATCAAATATCTGATTGTTTCCAAATTACCAGTTTGACTAAGTACTAATTTTCATTCTAATGTTTGACTGTTAGGTTAGTCTGTGTATAATGCCAAAATACTAAATGGTAACACAACATTCCAAATTAGCCAATCTTTAAAAGTATGTGTAACTCATAATAAAAAACAAGTCTAGGGGTGCCTGGGTGGCTCAGTCATTAAGCATCTGCCTTCAGCTCGCGTCCTGGGATCGAGCCCATCGGGCTCCCTGCTCCACGAGAAGCCTGCTTCTCCCTCTCCCACTCCCCCTGCTTGTGTTCCCTCTCTCTCTGTGTCTCTCTCTGTCAAATAAATAAATAAAATCTTAAAAACAAAACAAAACAAAACAAACTAGTCTAACCCCTTCCTCTCCCCTCAAAAAATCCTACTTACAAAGATATGTAACTTACTACAAGGTGGTATCTGGAATATCTGCCAAGATAATCTTTTCTTCAATCTAATACATTAAGAACAAATACTATTGCGGTCAAAATGTACTATGCACTTGCAACTGTACACATGAAATATCATTATGATAGACATTTCTCGGTCTTCTTAAATGTGAGTCTGATAGGTACCTGGCAGCTACTTCGTGTCTCTACCTGGTGGGCAAATTTTATATATACTGTATTTTCATCATGGTCCATCTATTTAAAAGATCACCGTATTGACACAGATCTATTCAGTGAACGTAATAATAAACCATGTAACATTACAAAGGAAAAATAAAGCTTACGTCATCTGGATATAAAGGAAGATTGGTATCACTGTACAGGAAACAAAATCACATGGAAATGGAAGACATGAAAGAAATCATTAGTATGTACGATGCAGGGCTTAGTCAGATTGGTACTTTACTTACCGACTTGGCTAATCTTAGGCACTGGACAAGCCTCAGAACTGTCAAGCAACTAATACTTGCTATATACATTGTATAAGATACATAGATGAGTTTATATAATGAAACTAATATACTGCTTCACAATTTTGAGTATTGTAATATATTTTTTAAAACTTGCTCAATATTTGAGAAAAAAATATTATAATTTTATAAGTTCAGTATGTAGGACCAGCCATAAAGCCTATTCAATGTAACTGAAGACCGTCGGGGAATTTCTGGGTCGCAAAATGTTAAATAGCACAGACATTAGAGACAGTGAAAGATTTTATTTTTTCTTTTACTTTCATCCAAACACACCCTTTTCTGGAAAACATAAAAGCATGCACATTGATGGCATTCTTATAAAGAAAAACTAAGTAATAACTAAGCTGCAAATCAAGAATAATAAGAATAACACAAAGGCTTAAATGATATGTGAAAAGATTTACAGGTAGATACAGGGCTCTTAATTTTAGAAAATAATAATTCAAATCATATCAACACATGTTAAAAAGAAGCTAACTTTCCAAATATTTTGATACAAAATTTTTAAACTAACAAATATATTTTATAGAACTTCTGTGAGAATATAAGTATGTTCATAAGAAACATGATGTTCAAAGTGATCTTATGCCGTTCACTGAGACTTCTTAAAATCAGTTATAATCAACATTAATTCCAATGGTACTACTTCTTAAAATTTAAATTTAGAACATATCCATGATATTCAAGGTAAGTTGCACAACTTACATTTACTTTGATCTAATTAGAAAAAGCTTCTAACTTTAGGGTTGTTAAAAAAAGTATTAACAAAGACATGGGATTGATTTAACCTTCACTTTACTAGAAAGAGAAAATGACAATTTGGCATGAGAACACTTTTCAGAAGTGTGACCTACACCGCCGTGCAGTTAGGCCAGCCACGTCCCGTGGGGACGTGTGCACACATACTCACACTAACGTACGTGGACAACTCCCATTACCCAGCTGTGCAAAGGTGCCGTCTGACGTGGCCTGCTCTCTGGGTCTGGAGAATTGGTTAGACAAAATTTCCCTTCTTTATTATTTTCATTTTGTTCGTCATGATTCAGCTGGTGTGTTTCATCTGGGGCATGGATACAATTTTACAACAAAAATCCATTAAGCAGAAATGTTATCTTAAAGGGCTGGTAGGCAATCAAATTGAAGTTGTAACATAAAAATAGAGCAGATCCAAAAAGGTCGTCCTCTTGCACAGGATAGATTTATTATTTCATGATTGAAAACTGAATTGTGTGATTTGGTTCCGGAAACACAGCTCTTGTTTTGAGGTGATATGGCTTAATTGTGTAGCCCCATTAAAACCAATGAGAACTAAACAAATTCATTCAGGCTTGATGGATTAAATCTCCCTGGCTTGTGGAAGGTGAACTTCTTGACATGAGACAAGTGCAAAACGCCTTTGCCGCAGCTAGCGAGGCTGGCTCACAAGAGCTTAAACGAACAACTCTGCAGCAGGACAAACCCTGGCCGGCTACAGTTCCTCCCTGTGCACGTATGGTACCAGGCACCAAGCAGCACACTGCCAGTAAGCCAAAGGGAAAGAATCCAAACCCAGTGGAAATCAACCGTGATGACATTAAAAAAAAAAAAAAAATGACTTCTGAATTAAATGTTGTGCTAAACTCAATAGTAACAGGCAAAGGCACATGCTAGCAAATCTAGTCAGATGTTTGAAGGCTCCCATCACCTCAAATTATCTGTAGACTCAGGTCCAATAAAGGTTCACACTGATTATTTTGATATAAAAAATAATAGCAAACCTGAAGGTTTTCAAGTAGTTACGGCACAGATGCTGGGAAGTACTAAGAGCTTAGCATAACTCTTCAAAAAGCCGGGCAATGTAAAGTTCTGCTATAATGAATCAGGGTCACAATTCTAACTTAAACTTAATTCTCATATTTTATACATTATTCTTTCGTACACAATACAGGGTGTGCAAATTAAGCTGTTTCAATAAATATTAGAAATGTTAATTACTTTGCAAATATAAAGTAAAATCAGCTAATAATGCAATACAATAAAAGCATGCGCTAACCAGAGCTTCCTCCCCAGGGACAATTTCTTGCCCTTTTCCTTGGTATGCCTCTTAAACACTTAAATACAATTTCTTTCACTCCCTTGGAGACATTAAGCAAAAAGCAAAATATTACATAGCTCCAAGATCCTAAATATCTTAGTGATAAAGGTTGGACTAGTCAAGTTGTAAAAAATTAAAAATAACAAATACAGTGAAATATACTGCAAATTAATGTTCATGAACGCAGCCATCTGAATTACAAAACAATAACAAATTATACAATCCTAAGAGTCTTCTGAAGATGACATTAGTTCATAGGAAATGCCAAGTATAGCATAAACTGTTTAGTTTTTCCCTTTCCAGCAGCTTCTGTTCTAAAGTTGTAAAACCATGTATGTTTGCCCAAGACCAACTGCATATCGGCTTTAATCAGAAATTCTATTTTATCCAATGTTCAATCAACAAGGCTTTATTTACACTTCTTATTAAAATCAGGAAACAATTTGCCGTAAGGTGTGGCTGCCAACACTGAACCACGGAGCACATCCCACTGCCTGCAGACAGCTACCTGCTCAAGCTTTTATACTAACCCACAAGCAGCCAATTAAGGTTCCATAAATCCACGTTCTTACATAGAGTTTCCTTCCAGCCTCGGTCATAAGCATACCAGCAGTCAAACCACTTAAGATCAATAATGATGGTAAAGTCTTCTTGAGACTTAATTTAGAATTAACACTTTCCCCAGGAAATTTGTTTCTTCTTTCTGGATCCAGTGAATCATAAAACTCTATAAGCAACCTATGGCCAGAATGGAAAAAAAAAAAAGTTTCAGGTTTAGTCACTTAATAGTCTAATTTAATAAATAGCTCTGGATGCCTATTACATGCTGGAAAAACTATAAGGTCCTTGGGAAAAAAAGATGAATGAGGAAATACCTAGAGACTTGATTTAACTGGAGTTTCTAGACTTTAAAAATATCTTTATATGCTCATTAGTGCAGATGATTGTATTATATGTAATTTTTTAAAAAGATGGTTTTAAGTAATTTTGTGGGGAAGATTTTTTTCTAAACTTTAGATTTTTAATAATTTTGCAACAACCAGACTCGCTCACCCATGGGTAATAACCCATCTCACTTCGTCTCCACCTTCCCCATCTTTACTCCTTCCTACGGCTCCCATTCCATCAGAAGTCAAAGAGAAGATGAGCAGTTCTTACAACATATATGGAGTTTCCCCCCCAAAAGCCCCCACTCACATGGGATTATAAAAAATAGGTACAAGAATGAAAAAATAGCATAGTTAATTCATTTTCCTATCTTATTTAAAAAATGTAAAGTTATAACAGCAGGACAGACTGAGCATAAAACTCTCAAACACAAGTACAAAAGCAGAAAATCCTTCCATTACCTTAACAAATTCCCTAGACATAACCACTGTTTTAAAAGGTCCAGACTCATTCTAAGTATGTATTAGCACCTACAACACGAAATACACTGGATATTAAGCATATTGTTCAGGCATTCTTTTCTTTTCTGAGAACTGATTCATGTATTTTATTTTCGAAATTTCTTCCATAACCCAAGTGGGTGGCAGTGAATGGTTGGTGAAATAAATTGTGTCATGTACAACTGATGGTCAATGAAATAGGGAAATGTAGCTACTTGTCTATAAATTTCAGAGAGTCTCATTTTCAATGCAGCACACTTCTAATAATTTTCACTTTTTAAAGTTAACTCAAAAGGGTTAATGAGGAAATAATTTTATTGTAATACAACGAAGAAAGGAACAGAGCAGTCTGCTGAGAAGTGTTATCAGGAGAATAAAACACAGGTAAAATTTCTGAACATAAACCTAATTTTGGAAGTCTTACTTTTGAGTCTGTAAAAACGCCACACTTTTCAATGTGGTTTTAGTAAATGATGCATCCTATAATTAATGGGCCTATTTTTTTTCAAAAAGAAGATAAAAAGTAGAGATGTTTAAAACATATCTTTCAAGAAACAGGATATGCTTCAGAAAGGATAAAACTCCCATTGACAGCAAACAAACAGTAAATAATATACCCTGAAGTTTTCATCCAAGAGAATTCAGTTTCTAAGTATCATATCAAAACCTGACATCCACTTTTTATCTTCCTAAAAAGAGAAGAAAATCCTAAATTTTTTTCCTTTAGAAAACTATGAAATCCAAGGGGTCCTGTTATCCGCTACGGAGGGCACCTGCTCCCCCGGGGTTCGCCCGTCAGTAAGTGGCACTTCACATTCCCTCCCTCAGTTCGACCTCACTAAGCTGTGCCTCACCCAGGAGGTATCTAAATACACCTGTAACTTACTGACAGGCAACGCTCAGCAAGAGTCAACACTGTTGTTTGCTCTGAAGCAATGTGATTAGCACGGATGAGCACAAGGTCAATCCCAGAAACTATTTAGGCCCCAAAATACTAACAGCAAAAGACATTTTGGTCAGAATGTCACCTGCCCCTTCTTCTTCCAACAAATATACCCATGCCTTTTCCACACATACATCAGACACAATGCTCTATCCCACAGCTTCGCTCTCTGGGCATCGTGGGCATGCCAGCTAGTTCTCAAACATACTACCTCTTTGTCTGACCCGGGAATGCACACATGGGGCATCTCACAGTGGAAAGCTGGGGGGGGGGTGTTTTCTAATTTTACATCCCACCTCAGAGTGCCGTCTAGGAAATATTGTGAATGAAAAGAGGGAGGCCTCCTCTAACAAGTTCTTTCACAGACAGTGTAACAGAGTAAGGTTTAAAACATGAACAGACTGGACCCGAGTTTACAAAAAAGCATTACATTAGTTTCAAATTGTTTATTTACTACAGTGAAATGTAGCTGAACCCAAGTTTTTGAAGTAGGAGAACTGCTGTTACTCACTTATCTTTAATTTCAAAACGCTCATGAAGCCATCTTCTCATAAATGCCTGTTCTTCTGGGACATCTTTTTTGTCTATACGATCAATGTGAATATGAATTTTTGGACATTCTTTGCAGAGAAATTCTAACAAGAAACAAAAAAAATTCATTTTTTGTTATTTTACAATTCACGGTTATATAAAACAACTGAAAATGAGGTAAAAAATATTTTTAAGTGATGAAAAAGCAGATTCTTCAGCAAAAAAGAAAAAAGTTAAAAGAAAATAAGAATTCTACACTGATGGTTTTAGGTTTCAAGCTGAAGTAGAAGAATGTGTTATAATTTCCCAGTCTACCACAATTACCTGAAGTCACTAAGCTAAATGGATAGTACCAAATGTTACTTTTCATAAAATAACCTTCATTTCCACAGGCGACCGAGGAGTAGAAGGTGGACTCCACTGCAAGTCCACACCTACCCTCTGAAGGGTGCCCAAATGCCAGCCACCCTCAGGCTCACGAATCACCTGCAGGAGACTAGTCCGCTGTTTCCAAGCATATCACTCATCACACACTGTCACTTCTGTTCCCACGAGGCCATGAGTCCCCGAAGGGCGCACATGAAATCTGTCTGGTTCACTCTGCCAGAGCCCTGGGAGCATGAAGCACTTAACCCCCTGAATCCCTAGTGCCTTCGCCGGGCACATCAGCCTGTCATGGAGTGTCACACACCCAGCACAGACGTGGGAAAGAGACCTCCATTCCTCTAGGACTTGCTATTGGTTTCTACTCACTGGTACTCCCGGCTCTCCTGGCCTTCGCTGTATTTTCACATAACATATTTGGTTTAGGAACCAAAATTCCTTCTGTGGAATAGCTATGCGCTTTTAAGTGACTACAGTTTCTAAGACAGGCTAATTTGAACAAAGCAGGCAGTCCTCTTTCAGCCTGGGTTGCACAAGCAATGAGGCCAGGATTTATTCCAAGACAAGAAAGAACTCTGAGCTGGGAAATTCTCCTTCCTGTGGATGGCTTTTGGTGAAAAGGTGAGATTATGAACAGATTTAAAGTCCCTGGAGAACAAGATGTTCCTAAGAGATGTAAGAGGACACTATGTCCCCCAGGTGGGAATGCGAGGAGGCTGAGACCTGTTATCTCAAGTTGAAATGTGTTCAAAGACAGTGTTCCAAGAAGTGGTGACTCACATGCTCTGTGGCTGAAGGAAGAGTTTCAGCTTCAAGAAGTCTCTAGTCTTTGGACTCTGCACATGTCTGTTTTTTGTTAGGTATTCTCTACAATTGTTCTTCTTTACCACTGGTGCCAAGCCTTAATAACATGTGGCATTTCCGTCATCAAAATTATCTTACCGTTATATACTTTCAGGAGGGAATTGGCTTTGATGATAAAGGCACAAAAAGCACAGGGGGAAGACTGGACTCCAGAATTTTTGTCTTAGTTTTCTCAAGTTCTGTTGTCGGTTACGGAACCAAGGAACTGCAGAAGAAGGATTTTAGCAGCAGAACCATGCAGAGGTTCAGAGCACGGACAGGGAGTCAGGCAGCCTGGGTCTTGATCCCTGTTCAGCCCTGGGAAGACGGGCTCGCTCTCGGTACCTGCCCCCCAGTCTGCAAGGCAGAGATAGGGGCGCTGCGAGGGGTCCGGACTTCGAGCTCTGAGAGCAGCGCCAGCACACCGTACGCTCTACGGGTCGGCGATTCCAACTTTTTAGCCGCATGTAACTTCTCATCTCACCCTCTCATTTGTATTTCTGATCCATAAAAATGCAGATCCCCAACACCAATTCCTCCTACTTTCATCTAATTATCTACATCCCCTGCTCAACATCGCCTAATTAAACAGTAAGCCAGCTGATGCCGCAGGGACGTGGCCACGGCCACAGGCTGTGAGGAGGTAAAAGTGAGCAGACTTGAACTTGTAACCGCGGTGCCTGGGAAGTGACAGCAGTGTGTTCCATGAGACATCAGCTGAGGAGGGAAGAGGCATGGACACTGAGAAGGACTCCCAAATTCATATGGCAGTAAAATATACATGGTATCCTGGTGTTTACAACACAGTTTTGTGTACATTATTTCATCCGACCTCCAGGAGTCCCTGTAGGCAAGTGCTACTACCCTTGTAGGGCTTGGAGAGGACCAAGAGCCAGCGCGGATGGTGGTGCAGCCCCATCAGCCCAGTCTCTGGGGTGAGGACCCAAATGAAAACCATGAGTGAATCATCAGATAAACACTAAATGACTTTCAGGAGACAAGAAAGAAGTAACATAAAGGGGGACGCCTGGGTGGCTCAGTCAGTTAGGCGCCTGCCTTTGGCTTGGGTCATGGTCCCGGGGTCCTGAGATCAAGTCCCGCATCGGGCTCCCTGCTCAGCAGACAGCCTGCTTCTCCCTTTGCCCCTCCCCCTGCTTGTGCTCTCTCTCTTTCTCAAGTAAATAAATAAAATAAAAAAAAAGAAGTGACATAAAGGTTTTCTTCAATATTTAATAAAGCTTCGTGTATCTATATTTGTAAAAACTATGTTCATTGGAGCTTATGTCCTATTGCATGAACAAAAATTTTCCCATAATATTTAGAAATATACAGAAAAAGTATTCTAATTAAAGTATAATTTTTTTAAAAGATTTATTTATTTGAGAGAGAGAGAGGGAGCGAGGGAGAGCATGAGCAGGGGCTCAGCAGGGAGCTCCATACGGGGCTCAATTCCAGACCGGCCACCCAGGCGCCCCAAGGTATAATTTTTTTCTAATTAGAACTTCCCTAGTAGAGCCCTAGAGTATATATATGCCAGGGTAATAGGAGTCTTTCAAGTATTCATACTTGTCACAGGACTAGTCTCTGGAGAAACTAAGTTCCATTTGCTCTGTGCCTGGGGAGCCAGGCCAGATGGAAATAGGAGAGAAGGGCAGAGCTCGGAGAGTGGGAGCAGAGAACGTGCATGTACTGAACTGGGACAGCTTCCACCCTGGCACCTCAGCCAGCTCCCACGCTGCTGCCTTATAACCCGCTCCCTTTCCCTCTGGGAGGAAAAAAATGAAATAAATCCAGGAGTAGAAAACTGGGTAGATAAACCATTGTATAGTCACATCAATGGACGTTACGTAGCATTTTTAAAACAGTACAGAAGTGTATATACTGACATATAAAGATATTTATGATTAAAAGCAGGATATAAAAGAAAATAATATATACAAATGACCTCACCTAAAAATATCCAAAGGCACAAACATACTCCAACACAGTGACATTATAAAAAGGAAGATTTTGAGGAAAATATCCAAATTGTTAAATGCATCTGGACAGGTGAGCCTATGGAGTTTTCTTCCTTCTTCTTTTGGGCTACCTGTAATTTTCCCCTCCAAATAAGTTTTCTTTTCATGTAAGAAAATATTAAACAGGAAAAAGTAACCTAGCACCATATTAAATGGTTAAACAGAACACCAAATGTTATCCTTAACTTCACAATTTATTACGGTATACCACCCACTGTAGAAATGGAATTTAAGTAAGTCTATAATCAGACCGGCCTGTCTCTCCTCTGCCCAATGGACATTGTCCAGAGAAGACAAAGACCCTGATGACAAGACCAGATGAACCACAAAGTGCATGCCCAGGTGGGCTTTGATCACTATTCACCTTATAGCGAAAGACACCACGAAATGGGAAGCACAAGGGACACTACCTGCTACCTAGCTCTCTAACATGAGGCCTCACTATTAAGGCCCAAACTGTAAGTCTCGTGATCACAAGAGTTCAAGAGTTCATTCACAAACCCCGCCCCCCCCCCCCCCCCCCCCCCCCCCCCGCGCAGCTTCTGCCCCCACCTGCAGCCACTCCATGCTAGTAGTCTTGAGCGAGCTGAGGCCCTGCACAGTCAACAATCATCCCAGGTGACTCTGAGGGAACTGTAATACTCCTACAATGCTTTGAGAAAGACGGTCCTGTGGCATATAAATGCACAATCTAGCAACTATGGAAATGTTTTTTAATTGGGCTATCAAATACGAGTATTGAATGATAGTCCACTATGTATGGAGATAATATTTAATACTAATCACACTCAACCACCAAGTACTTATGACATTCTAAGTTATGGAATTTTATACCTAACTCAACTTACATCATAAATTTAAAGTGCATCTTAATCTACACCAGAATAAAGTAGAGCAGAATAGCAATCAATTTATATAATAATGAGAATGGGGATTCTCAAGCTACAGGTTCCAACCTCAGGATTAAAATCAACTTGTAAATACCGAAAACCAGTTGTTGCATCTCATGTGCACAGGTATATTGGTAGAGGAACTTCTCAGCAGCGGTGATGTACATGCATTTGTGGAGCTGGTAGACCGCACCAGGGCGGCTTCCATGGAGGCTGTACAGCCCTGCACCCCTAACAGCAAAGTACGGACGTGACTTTTGTACTTGAATTTCACCCACGGGCCTGTTACCCAAACTCAACACTGGGATTTTTGCCAATCTGATAGTAAAACATGGTATCTTGTTAAAATTTTAATTTGCACTTTTCTTATTATGAATGAGATGGAGCATTTTTTTCTGTGAGCTACTACTGAGTTATTGATCATTTTCTCATCAATTTGTAGAAGCACTTTATACGTCAAGGAAATCCGGCTTTTTTTCTGTTATCTAAGTTGCAAATATCTCCCAGTTTGTCTTCCGTCCTTTGATTTTACTCTGGTGTCTTTTTCCTTGTGGAAATATTCACCCTTAATTGATTGAAATGACAGATTTATTTTCCACATGGCTTCTGGGTGTGATAGTTAGAAAAGCCAAACTTCTCCAAGAGAGACAGTTTGTTAAGTACAACACAAAGCCACTGTCAGCTAATGTGTATGCAGTAGAGGAAGCAGAGCAGTGGTGGGGGGCTGGGTTGGAATCTAGACAACAGCAATTCTAAAATGGTTTTCTTCCTCAAGGCTTCTCACCCCGTTGGGGGAAGGTAAAGAATTACCATATGCTGAGTGCTAACCTTGTGGCTTAAGCACTTAGTACCACCAGGAGTGCCAAAGCAAGAGAAAGCAAATGAGCTAGGGAAGAGGAATGTTGTGGGAACAGCAAAGCTGGGGGAGGGCAACAGAGGGGAGGGGTTTCACTTGGAAAGGAGGCCAGGCCTACACACGGCCTTCCATTCCAGAAGGCAAGGGAGTGCAAGAGAGGGACAGCTGGGGTACAGAGTCCTCAGAGGGCAGGCTGAAGAGGGTGGGGCCTGGCCCGTGAGCACCGCTGAAGGCAGGAGCTCTTATGACCAGGACGTGGCGTAATGAAAGCACTTTGCAAAGGTTATTATGGGAATTATATTTGTTTCTTATAAACAATTAAAACATGTTCAATAAATCTCATTTTTTAAACAACGATAAACTAGTGATAATATCGTTGAACAACTAAATGCATGTGTTTTCAAATGTAAAAATAGGTCAATGACTCCTTTGATGGTTAAAAAAAAGGAAGGAAAAATATTAATACATTGCCTTTCTTGATAACAAGGGAAGGATTTCTAGAGTAAAAATGTAGACTTAATTTTGCACATATGATACACAAACAATTAAGAAAAGTGGTTACCTCTGGGCAGGGGAAGTTGGACCCCGAGGGGAGGGGGACGTGGTGGAAAACAAGCTGTTTCACTGTGCACTTTATAGAGTTGTGGTTTTTAAACTGTTTGATGTATAATATATTCCAAAAAATTCCATTTAAAGTGAAAAAAATCTTCAGCTTCCAACGTGACAATTGCTCTGTGTCAAAGGCAATTGTGAGAGTAATCAGTCTTACTACTCCAGTTTTGTCTTGTTTTTTTTAAGATTTTTATTTATTTGACAGAGAGAGACACAGCGAGAGAGAGAACACAAGCAGGGGGAGTGGGAGAGGGAGAAGCAGGCTTCCCGCGGAGCAGGGAGCCCGACGCAGGGCTTGATCCCAGGACCCTGGGATCATGACCTGAGCTGAAGGCAGACGCTTAACGACTGAGCTACCCAGGTGCTCCACTACTTCAGATTTGTATTTCCAGCCACTATGACCGATTTTCACCACATTCACCACCCCCCCATTAGTGCTTCATCCCTTGGTCCTCTCTTCCAACTTCCTGCTCCAGGGAGCTACTCTGTCTTCTGGACAATATTTGAACACCAGCCTTCCAGAGGTCCCACTGACACACACACTCTGACAGGCCTGGTATTTCGACCTTCAACAGCCACCAATGTGACATAAAAAGCTCGTGTTCTATCTCTCGATCACAGCTCGAATGGACGCTTCAGAAAGGTGATGGCAACACTCCGCACTTCCTTGTTGGCCTAATCCCGTATTTAAATTTCTCTATCCATCAAGAGTGTCTTTAGTTATGTTTAACTAAAATATTCTGCTCACTTAAAATTCTATTTTTTCTTGTTATATCTGACAAACGCAGAGGCAACAGCTAAAAAGTCTTTATAGGGGCGCCTGGGTGGCTCAGTTAAGTGTCCGACTCTTGATCTCAGCTCAGGTCTCAATCTCAGGGTCGTGGGTTCAGGCCCTTTGTTGGGCTCCACGCTGGGCACGGAACAAAACAAAACAAAACAAAACAAAAACCCAGCACAGGTTTGAAAAAAACAAAGAGTCGTATTTAACTGTTTCCTCTTGCCAAAGATACTAAATTTCACAAGTATTATATAAAAATCCATACAAAGGTGAATGCTGGCCATCAGTATACCTCAGTACCACTAGGTTAGCACTCTCCTCCACATTCCCTTCCTTTGATTTATGTAGCCTTCCATTCTTATGTGTGAACTCTGGGTAGAAAGAGGCTGAGTTAATGATATCGGGCAAGTCCAAAGGACTAATATGGCAACCAGGAAGTACCAAAATTAGCAGGACTCATGAAATTCAAATTGTTATGGATTAATAAAAAAATACCTGGAAAATAGACAAAGTATCTACCTAGGAAATATATCAAGTAAATGTTATGAAGTACACGTACCCATTAAAGAGAATAATTACACACTCACAAATATATGACATAATTGAAAATATAAACTCACCAGCCATGGACGGTGCTTCTTTCCGCTGCCCTTTATCATCAATAGTCCCTTCAAAAGCCACTGTCACATCATAAATTGCATCTAAATAATTCTTCATAGAATCAAAAGCAACGTGAGTTGCCTTTATTCTTGGTGTCAGCACATGTTTCAATACTGCAAAGCCTAAAAGAGAAGTTGATTCAGTGTGGCCATAAGTTAATTACAAAACACCTCAGCACAATATAATATCCAAATTGTCTTTAAATTTCCAGGAATAGACCAGAATATATTAAAGCCATAATCTCATATGTACAGACAGGGCTTGAGGTTTAGAAAGCACTCTTATGACTTGATGTATTTAAATAACATTCATTTAATACATATTTATTAAACTTCTACAGGAACAAGATGCTGGGGGAAAACTGTCAGAACACTGGCCCTCAGGAAGCTTATGACTTATCAGAAACCTGTCAATCTGGTAACCCCTGACACAGGCAGGTACTACCATCCTTATCTCTGGCCACAGGATAAAGGTAGCAACATCCTGCCCGTGGTCACTTCCGATTTAGGAGTACGATTTATAATTCTGACTCCTATCCAGGATTTAATTTTATTTCTATTCAAATAGGGACGCAGGAGTGAAGGAGCACCTGAATGACCCCTGCTGTGTCGAGTGCCTGAAGGAAGAGCTGCTGTGGTCTAGCTCATGTGGAACACTGGGCTTGATAATTAGAAAACTGTTGTTGTTGTTTTTAATTAAAATGAGATTCAATTTACATACCATTAAGTTCATCATTTCAAACGGTGCAACTCAGTGGTTTGTAGTAGATTCACAAAGCTGTGCAACCATCCCCACTATCAAATTCCAGACCATTTCTGTCTCTCCAGACAGACACCCTAGACCATCTGCAGACACTGAGCATTCTCCTTCCCTGGATCTGCCTGTTCTAGACATTTCACATGAATGGAGTCACAGTGTTGTGGACTTTTGTGTCTGGCCTCTTTCACTTAGCACAGCGTTTTTGAGGCTCATCCATAGTGAGGCAGGTATCAAAAACTGAGTACTTTTTGTGGCTGAGTAATACTCCACTGTATGGATCTACCACATTTCGTTTATCTATTGATCAGATGATAAACATGCGAGTTGTTTTTAACCTTTGGCTCCTATAAATAATGCTGCTCTGAACATTCATATAAAATGTATGTGAATGCTAAACAAGTTGCTGTATGAACACAGGACTTCCATTCTCTTGGGTATATTTGAAATACACACACACACACACACACACACACATATTGTACACACTGTAGTTGAGAAAGCACTGCACTTTATACTGGATAATCATATCCATGAGTGTTCCACTAATGTTTAGAATTTATTCTCCCCCCTTTCCTATTTCTCACTGCCTCCTTTTTGCTTGATTAGAATATTTACTGACAACTGAACAGAAAAGAGTAGCTTCCTGAAGTGACATGAAAATAGACTAGACAAAACTTGATTTGGATCTTCTCCTGCCTCTCTCCAGGGAAAATGAGCTGCATAAGGAAGAACAGCTATAGTATGTTGGGATCTTCCTGCAGAAGAATTTTTAAAATGTGAAGCGGTGTGGGAAAGAAAAAGATTCCCACAACCACATATCTGACTGAAGTCCCTAGGGTAGAAGTAGCTCAATTTATTCACAAACTTATAACACAAAGCTGAATAGTATACCAGGCTGGGAAACACTCAATTGTCGATTAAATTAGTTAATACTTTCTTCTTTGTTATTGGAGCTCATCCAATTTTATTAAGTCCAAAGTTCCACAGAATCACCCTGTGGTATTCACTGAGAACAATTACTAGAATCTATTAAGTCAGTAAGAAGATAGACAGAAAAATAGTATTAAAATAAAAAGTTTAATGAAAGTCTAAAAAAATCAGCTTTGTGACAGATGAATAAGAAATGCCCATCACTAATATGTAAGAAAAGTTAAGAAAAAGATCTTCTCACTGAGGAATGTACCAGGAGCAGCTCAACTGCCCTAAACACATTTTCTAGATCCATTCCACATCCTGCATCTTCCAGCTTTTACCTTCCAGCTCTTGAAAGAGAACAGCCAAGGAGGAAGCAGAAAAACAAGGAGACTGGGGTGACACAGAGGCCCTGAGAAGAAAACATCTCAAGAAGGAACTGGTCAGATATGCTCAATGGAAGACACAGAAAGATCCAGAACTGAGAAGTGACCACCTGGCTAAACAAAGGTCATGTATTACCTGGACTTATATTTTCCATGGAGTGGTAGGAATAGAAGCTTAGAGAAGGGGTCCAGTGAGGCGAGAAAACAACAACAGCCCATTCTTTCCTGCATGTGTTTATTAACACACGGTCTATTGATTTTTCTAAGGCTTAGAATAACATAGGACACCCTTACTGTCACAACAAATAGAAGCCGACCCTTCTTGGATGACTGGAAGGCACTTCACGATCCTAAATCCGAGCCCATGAGCTCCTCCGATCCATGTGGGGAATGATCTACCATCTCTGACCAAGTGGTCTTCAACTCTAAACAGTGAGGAGGGTGCTCACTCTCCCCAAACCCTGGGTCATTATTATAAAACCAATTTTGTAATAACAATATGGAGACCAATTACAATTTCAACTGAGAGTGCCAAAAAACAGGTACTCATAATGAACTGCTGGAGCTTGAACCCACTGTACGGAGATCTAACTCTGCCTCCAGGAAACTACAGACAAACCCAGAGCCCCAGAGGAAAGTGTTAGTTAAGTAAGTTAATTCTTCTTGGTCAATATCTAGTCTCTATTTTAGTCTTTGCTTTGCCCTGTTTCATTTCCAGATCTCCTGAACTTATACTTGGTACTACCAATAATCTACCTTGCCATCTGAACCAGCTTCTCCTTGAGGGCCATTATGGTGGTGGCTGACATAATGGAGATTTTGCTGTATTACATTTTGGAAACATTATAAGTAAATGATAAACCTACTGGACAGGAAACCTTTATTGAGCCCTACAGGAAATTTTACATTATATATATATATTATTGGCTCATTTGACTCCCACAAATTAATTTAACTAAGGCACAAAGAGGTAAAATGACTTGCTCAAAGTCACATAGCTAGGTAGCAAGACCTTAAAATGTCTTGTTCAGTCCTTTTTCTATTTAATATATATTAATATAGTAACCTAAAACTATAAGCCCGTAGGTTAGAGATTAACGAGGCAATAAAATAAACTTAAATGACCATAGTATATGGTAAAATGTTCTAGAAGAGAGATAAAATATTCTCAAAATATAAAAGAATTACTCATACTTAAAGATTTTTTTTTAAAGATTTTATTTATTTGTCAGAAAGAGCGAGAGAACGTAAGCGGGGGAGCAGGCAGCGGGAGAAGCAGGCTCCCGCTGAGCAGAGAGCCCGACGCGGGACTCGATCCCAGCAGCCCGTGACCTGAGCCCAACAAAGGCAGATGCTTAACCGACTGAGCCATCCAGGCATCCCTTAAAGGTTTTTTTCAATCACTCATATGTGATTGGTGAAAGCTTCAGGACAAAGAGGAGCCTGGAGACAGGCCAAGAGGGAGGGAGGTAGCATACCAAGGGGGCAAAGACAGAGAAACCAGGTCAGAGTAGGGGCCCGTGAGGTCTGTGGAGCACAGGTACAGAGCTCGTGAGGAACGGGACTGAAAAGTACACTGGCATCACGTGACAAAAGCTTCACATCAACAGGCTGATGTACTTCTACCGGCCTGGGGGACTCCACGGATTTCAAACCAGAGGAGAGACATAATCTAGGTGCTGAGAAAAACATTTAGCTTTCTGAAACCCCTTAGGGCAGTAAGTCACAGGCAATGAGGTACTGAAGTAGGACTGAAGTAGTGTAAACTTGAAAAGAGAAAATGTAGACAAGAGATGTTATGAAGGCCAAATACACACTGATTCAGCCACGAACTGAATGTGGTAAAGAAGGAAAGCGTAAGCGGGCTTCTGGCCTAGAAGACACGGTCACGGCGGTGCGGGAGACACAGAGAAGGCCCGAGGGCACAGCGGCGGGAATGTATGCGTGCGCATGCGCGTGCGTCGTGTGCGCGCGTGCGTGCGGACACCCCCCGGCCCCGGGTAGGAGAGTGCGAGCGGAGGCGGGTTAAGAAAGAAAACAGGACTTCAAATTGGGCGCTCTGAGACTGACGCTGGAAGGAACACTCTAGAAGTGTTGAGAAATATGGTCTGTAAAATGGCAAGAACCAGGCAGAGACCACCATTTGGGACTCATCTGCATGGACACAACAGCGGAAGTACTGGCTGTGCTGAGACCGGAAGACGGGAGGGAAAAAGGCCGCCATTAATAATGTCGACGCTGCATGTACGTGAACAAATACGAGGAGTGGTCAAAACGCTGACTCTCTGGTAAGTCAGCAAGGACTTGGTAAGCGAGAGCTCACTGGGAAGCTGGAGGGGAATGGACGTCTGGGGAGTGGATGGAGTCAAACAGGAGAATGACAGGGGCCCAAACCTCTCCTTCAGAACGAAAGAGGGAGGAGCACAGGAACGCCACAGGCGAGCTGTGCGTGGACGCGCGAGCGTGCACACAGACACAAGACACATGCATGCACATATACAGACACAGACACGCACGCACACACAGACACAGTTTGGCAAACTGAGTAGACAAGAGCGTGGTGGTGAGGTATGCAAAAGGAAGTTATTAGAGCAATAACATTACAATCTTGAAATAAAGAAGGATATGCGTGAGTGTAATATGCAGTCTTGTCAGAGAAACAAAACTCCTTCAAGGCAAAGACACCCTGAGATGTGAGGAGAAAAAATCTGGAAAAAAGAAGAGATAGTCCAAAAGGGAAAACAGAACTGCTCAGCGTTCCCAACTGGTAAGAAGGGAGGAGGCAAAACAGGTTAGGCAGGGCTGAGAACCGGCAGGGTCCAATCACACACACACACACACTGGAGTGGGACTGAGTGGGCACCGCAGGGCAGTGGCAGCCCAGGGCCACTCAAGGCCCAGACCAGAGAAGGGCCAAGGAAAGTGAGGTTAGAATCAAGCCGAAAACAAGGCTCAGGGGAAGGAAGTGCAAGGAGAAGGTAGATGCAGAACCATCGACATAATCTGCAAGACCCAGTACAATTTCAAGACTGTGAAAGCGGAGCATCAAACCCAGCACGGGATGC